CTATCCGAGATTCACCTTGCTCCCAATTATGGCACTGATCTTAAACAATACTTGACTACAGTGAACTGAATAACTCTTTAATCTCATAATTTAGTTTGTTCGAAGACAAATAAAGGTTTAGTGTGAGGAGATTTGATGACTCCAATTATAAGCATATTCTTCGGTTGACAAAACTACGTATTACTTAAATTTCTGTATAAAAACTATCACAATAATTGGTTAATGGCATACTTTATTGATCTATATCACTTGACATGATCCAGAGTTGGTTTGTGGAGATTATTAACAATTTTTGCCCTTTTTAAGCGGTGTTTTAGATCTAAAAAAGCTAAGGCAGACGACACAAGCGATAGTCATCTCCGCTCGCAAGCGGTGATTCCATCGCCCAAACAAAACTAAGGCAAGAAAGGCAAGCGGTAGCTTCCACCTCTCACAAGCGACAGCCTCTACCGCTCGCGAGCGGAGATGACTGTCGCTTGTGTCGTCTGCCTTAGATTTTCTGGATTCAAAACACCGCTTAAAAATGGCAAAAATTGTTAATAATCTCAATAAACCAACTATGGATAATGACAAGCGATATAGATCAATAAAGTATGCCATTAACCAATTATTGGTATAGTTTTTATACAAAAATTCAAGTAATACGTAGTTTTGTCAAGCGAAGAATATGCTTATAATTGGAGTCATCAGGTGCTTGGCAGGAACAATTTTTCATTGAATTTATCTTTCCTTCTTCTGTTTCAATGTGTGACTAGCAGTTGATTGAGAACTCTGCCTCAAGTACATCTAATGCGTTTTAGTTTTATAACCGAATTTCTTCTCCGTTTCCTTTATGTGTATATGTATATCTGCGAATACAGAGTCCACATTCATTCATAATATTCCACCATTCACTGTTTCTTATATGCCTATACAATGATAATCACAATTTTTATGAGAAAAATAGAATTTCACAGTTGGTTTGATAAATTTTTGGTACTATGCTGGCTTTTGGGCCCATGTCTTTGGAACCGTTAAATCTCCCATCTCAATTTGTTTTTGTTTTGATGTGTTTTACAATTTTTAACTCTCAAGGTTCCTTTTGAAAGTTGCAATTCAAATTGTATTAATTGAGTAATCAATTTTTTTAAAGTTATTGTAATTGATATTACTTGTTGTTTTCACCGTTCACATTAGTGGTTGCAAAGAATTTGAAATTATATTAATTCATTTTTTCTTTAGGTTTGAAAATGGCGGATGAAGTTGGTAGCTATAGAGATGACGAGTTGCATGACATAAATGATCTATCATAGTTCAATACCAAATTTTCTCAGATGCCTCCCAATACAATTTTCTTCAGGCAAATTAGCCCCAACCTAAGCCAACAAGCACATATTGTCCCAAACATTTCAATATGACTTTTGGCTATCCTTTTTCACCCATGCAGTACTATCTTCAAACTAGTAATCTTCTATTTTACTTAAAGATGTGGAACTTCATGTCACCTAGTCCTTCATCTTAGCCTCCATACCACAAAACTCAATCATCACAAGCCATTGCATCACCATATAGTCCACCCGATCCACCAATCCACAGTCAAGGTTCTTCACATGTCCATAATCTTGGTAGGTCTGTAGAGACCAACCAACCCACAAGTAAAAAATAGAACATGGACGAGGATATAGATTTAACTAGAGCATGGTGCAACATGACAACCAATGTACGCGTTGGTGTTGATCAGAAGAAACAGAAGTTGTGGGAGCATATATGTGAGAATTTCGTTGTACTAATTTAAGAAAAATATGGGTTAACTAGACTTGAAAACAAGAGGACTTCCGGTGGATGGACATCCAATCACAGTGTAATAAATAGTCTGCACTACGAGTTCAAGTATAACTACAGTATCGTAGCGGTTGGAGCCCAACAAACTTTGTAAGTCTCTATTTTATTTTTATTATAGCTCTTAATTTTTTTAAATTCATTTGAATTCTTTATATAAATAGTAAAAATTTCATTGAAATGATATTGTCAATCAACATATCTTGAAAAACACAAAATAGGCTTTAATGCAAGTCATGTTGGCTTATCCTAAAAGATCATCCAAAATGGTTGGAGTTTGTTATTGGAAAGAAAGGCAAAACAAATTATCGATATTCTGAGGTTGAAAAGGAACATCTAGTTGAAACTCCTGCAAGTGGTAATGCTGATAAACACTCTCCAAAGACCCATGTTGATTCAAGTACTAATGCATTATGAATTGATTCAAGTACTAGTGCATTACAGACTAAGGCTCGATGTCCGGTGGTCATTAATGAATCCGAACTAACTAATTTTTCAATTAGAAATATGCTTCCGTGTCTTCAAGACACACTTACAGCTTACAAAATTCAAAATTTAGCACAACTAATGGCTAAGGATTCAAGTCTGGAACGTCCTTTCCATGAAAAAGACAACAGAAGCGAAAAAGCCGGACACCAAATTGTTGTAATTGATGTAGAGGATATGATAGAAGGATATAAAATCATGGGTATTGTTGAAGATGTGGGATCAGGATTGGTACTGGGCACGCCTTACACTTGCTCCAATCTTAAGGTTACAAAGGGTAAAGACGTGCCTAAGTTACTGTGCGATGATCAGTCATCATCAGGAATATTTTACCCGCGACCATCATAGTGTCAACTCTCATCACCAAGCCACATGCCCACATTTTGAAAAGCTTTCACGGTGCGATGATTACTATATGTTGTTTTCCCAGATGATTAAAGAGAGACCTTAGATTTTTACTAGACCAGTTACCAAGGTGTATATGAGCGACAAAAATTTCAATGATAATGTTAAGGAAAATATGGAAGTATACTAACTGTAGTCACATATTTATCTTATCGGCGCATTGCATATGGTTAAAGATAAAATGTTCCGACAAGACCACACAACTGATTGGATGAATCGATGTGCACAGTTGGACATCCCGAGATACAAGGACATGGGTGCACAACCTAAGTCGGGAAAGGTCAGAAACATCACGCATTATTTTGTCCATTATACCAAAGTTTATGAATTAATATTTTATTTGAAAAATATAAGGTCAGTTACTATTAAGGCCTCTACGGAAATCAAGCCCTGGGATATTTTTCGATTTATATTCCAGGGATTCTAAATGATATGCATGGCTTGAGATGAGGCCGACTACATAACTAAACTCTAATGCGTTAGTAGCAATACAAGACTTATTTTACCGACTGGAGAACACTTTCATATTCGTATCTTTAGCCGAGACCTGGATTGCTATTTTCCAAAAATGAGGTCACGGTCGAGCAATGGTCTGATGATAATCCTATCGTCATATGACTTCAGCAGATTCAACTATATAATAAGATGGGGGTTATGTTACTAGCTAAAATGAATTACCCGGACGTGTTAAATAGTTAAGGCGCTTGACGCCCGAATGTATGAAACATGAAAAAACACCTTGGATTTTTAGGATCCAGGCTCTCCGGATTCTTAAAAATAAAGGTTGCCCCGGGTGCCCTGGCATTTTGGAAGTAAGTGTATTCCGTAATTTTGGAAGTGAGGGCGCCTTGGACGTGTCAGATGCATTTTAGATTAATATGTCAAGTATATTTTAGTCTGACCATCGATTGGACTAATAGATCAACATATATGCGTCAAATGGTGCATCAGACTAGATGATTGGCCCGTCCAGATCATTGATTGACAGTTTGACAAAGTATTTGATTGACTGTCGGACAAAACGTTTAGTGAACCCGTTGGATAAATTGGTAAGTCAAGCGGAAATTGAAGTGGGTCGGGCGCGAGTCTTTTCGGATACAGATAATACGATTAGATCTTGATTTCAGATACAATATTAGGTTATATTGCCAATATTTAAATATAAAATTTTGTATTTGATTAACAAGATATCAAAATTTATTATTAAAATTAAAGATTCCATAGGTATTTGGATAAAATCCCAAATCTAGGTATTACTAAAGATAGAAAATAAATAAATTAATTAGCTTTAATTATCTGAATTATTATTTTTGTATCGAAAGAACAAAAAAAAAACTATTAAAAATATTTTTTCTTAAATTGTCATTGGTTAAAAATTTTTTTTTCCTGATTAATCATTTATTTTTAATTCATCGATTATTTTTTTACCTTTTTCAACTGAATTATCTGATTTTACCGAACAAAGGCAACTCAATTGTTTTCTCTACGATTCTATTATTTACTCTTATTTGTCCAATTTAATTTTGTATACGAGCAGTTTAATACCTCCAAATTATAAACATCACCATCTCTATTAGGTGAATTATTATTTTTATTATTAGTATTGGTGTTGTTATGGGCATGGGCATGGGCATCTTAATCGTGGAAGATGACCGGTTGCTCACCAATAACACGTTCCACGTTGACATAATGGTGATATTTATTGAAGTAACAAAACTCTTTTGACCCACTGAATGAAGCTTCTTCTTGTTACTACGTCTACGTATTACCAACGTAGCACATTGTTTTTTTTTTAAATATATGCAGGAGCAGCCCGGCCCTGAATTAGGGTAGGATGAATTTAGTTGGTCAAATTTGGTGGTGACAGATAAAATATATATATATATATATCTAGAGAAAGATGGATAAGTTGGTATATAAAATAATAATAATATATAGATACTTATCTTATCTATAGTATATTATATATATACTACAGATAAGTTGTTTTCTTCCAAATATACTACTACTATCATATATTAATTTTTTTTATTAAGATATTAAAGCCAACAACAATCAACATTAATAATATACTAGCATATATTCGGCATCTGGTCGCCGCTCCAGAAGAGATCCCTTCCATTCATACTATTTGGCATTTAGTGGCTTTTGGGTGAGGCCAAAGGCCACTGTATCTATTTGTCTCTCTCTCTCTTTCCCTCTCTCTCTCTTGCCACGTCGTCCAACTGGATAAGCCAACGGCAAGCACTTTGGTCAGCAGAATCACATCACATCACACCGCGGCAGCCATCAAGACTACCGCACTACTTGTGATTTTACTGAATAGTACCTATTGCTACTCAAATCTCCTCTCCAGCAAGATCAGAACCATGAATATAAAACACGACATGGCTGCTACCTACTACATTCCACCAATACCTAAACATCTCAAATCAACTGGATTGATTCTTTCTGCTCATGCTGCTGCTGCTGCTGCTGATTGATTGATTCACAGAATAATAGACTAGAGGAGTTGTGTTGTGGATCAAGGATAAACATTTTCAAGCCCCATCTTCTCTTTGTTTCAATCCAATCCCATCATTGGTACATTTACTTATTCATTTATCCCTTTCAGTCCGCATTGCGGGGAGGTGAGGAGGGTTTGTTGTAGCTTTGACAGAAGAAAGATCGAGCTTCCACCTTCTTAGAACGAAAGCATCTCAGGTTCCCTCCTGCCTTGTTAATTTGGTCACCTCCCCGCTTATCCTAACCTATCTATCTGATACATATACTTATTGTACGTAAACTGCAGGCACGCAATCTAATTCGAAATACCAAATGGTGATGGAAGATAACGAGAGCTGTTCACGTAGGGAGGGGGAATCGTCCAAGAGCCGCCACCGCCGGAAGAAGCTGGAGGTTTACAATGAGGTTTTGCGGCGACTCAAGGAAGCCGACCATCCCGAATCTCGAGAGCCCGGTTTCGATGATCAGCTCTGGGCGCATTTCAATCGTTTGCCGACCAGGTTGCTCTTCACCTCTCGCATTTTTTATTTCGATATTATCGTCGTCTCACGAGCTTTCTACGTTTTTCCTCTAATCTCGCCTATTTTTTGTTTCGATTTTCAAGCCTTTTCCTTACCTTCTATTATTCCCTTTAGTTTTGGCTAGTTTGAACGTGCTATTACAAATTTGATCGCATTTGTTTAGAACTTAATCAGCGACTGATAAACGGATAAAGGCTCCTTGCATGCCATGGACATTCTTAACTAATAATCTCACCATTTCCCTTTTGAATGTCATTGCAATATGGTCAACTATCTTATGTCTGTGCATCGTAGGTATGCGATTGATGTGAATTCTGAAAGGGCCGAAGATGTCCTTACACACAAAAAACTACTGCATTTAGCTCGTGTTCCGGCTAATAGGCCCGCTTTTGAAGTTCGCCTTGTGCAGGTGAGTTTTTTTGATAGAGGCAGACATTTGAACCTCAATAACTATATAGCTTTGATCATTTCTTTTGGTAATAGTTGGATAACCTATACGGAAGAAACAAATCTTCCTTGTGTGCATATCCTTTTTGGGACACAATGGTTGCTTTTTGTTCAATGGATGAGGTATCAATTTCTCAAGAAGGTGGAATGTGCATATTCCTTTCATTGCCATCTTCAAATAAATCTTAAACAAAAAACCCAAAGGTGAATTACACTTGTTGGTTTCGTGGGAGGAAGCCTAATATTTTCCCTGATAAAGTTATTAGGTCTTAAGAATACCCCATGTCTAGCTGCTACACCAGAATATTGGTAGGCTTTTAGAAGTTGAAGGTAGTGATGATTGGTACACAATTTATAGCCTTGTTTTGAATTTCAAAGTGAGAAAATATCATATATGCATGAAGACATAGCTTGCTGTACTAGTGAAATCTCTCTTCTTATGGTAAAGATCAATATGTTAAGCTATTATTTTGGCACATTCAGTCTTAAACTTTTCCTTTACACTGTATGTTACATTTAAAATATGCTTTTAACACTGAGGACTTGGTAATTTGAAGTGAACTTTTGTATCCCATTTTTTGCTGGACACATATTTCTCATAAATGATTGCCTCAGAAACTGTTATTCTGTCAAGTGAAAAATCCAAGAGTTATAGGTACTTATGTAGCAGACATCAAGGGCTTCATTTCCCCCTTATTACCTTAGTTTTGGTTGATTAATGAATCAATTGATATTTCATGTTCACTATTCTAGCAGTGTGTTCTCATTCTTCCTGAGGTATCTTCTATCGGCGAAATGCGCGTACTATTGAATTCACCTCAGAAGAGAATCAACAACATATAAACTTATTCATTCTTCTTATGATGTTTCTTAGTTGATGCCTTAAATTTTTTAATATTATACAGATTGTGCCAGTCCCAGATGGAAATTTTGAGGATTCGGTCCATTTACATTCTCCAAGAAAGGAAAGGTATTGGCTCTATGCTTCAGCAGAATTGTATGAAACTGCTTCATTCTGTCCATGTTTTGGTGGTGTTTGTACCTTTTATTGCCGGTGGTTCTCCATTTAAATTTATTGCTTGGTTGAGTTCATTTCATAATTTTATGCTTCATCAGATGTATTGAATCTTGACAACCATTTTCTGTCCAGTATCCCTCCACCACCTTCTTTTGGTTCTTCTCCTAATCTTGAAGCACTTGCCCTTGAAGCAAACAAATCAGAAGCTCTAGATGAGGATAGTGGTTTAAGTTCCACTACCAAGTTAAGGTACACTATATTATGATGGCTCTTGGTCTTGCAGTTTTATTTCTAATACTTCAACTGCTATCAATGAAAACATTAAGGACTATGGCATTTGGTTCTTTGTTTTGCAATGTTTTAAATACCTAACATTTTGACTGCTTTTGGAATAATCCATGGAAGTATCTATTGTTGAAGCTGAAGCAAGCGCTGATTAATAATGCAGGCCAATGCATGAGATTACTTTCTCGACTGCTGACAAGCCAAAGCTCCTCAATCAGGTAAATGTTGTTAGTCATTTGGAGAGAATTCTCTAAGCTAATATCGTTGATAGCTTGCAATAAGAAATGCTTGAGCTTCTTTTTTCTTTTCATGAAAACATTCATTGTTTGCTGTTCTCTACATCTTTCTAAATGGAGGTAAACTGAATGCTGAGCTATCTTGCTGTGGACAGTATTTCTTCTGTATCTGTGGCTGCACCTACTAACTTCACATACTTGAGTGATATACTGTATAAGGAACACGTTAGTTTTCTTAGCCATTGACTGAACTACAGTGATAAAACATGCAGTTGACTTCCCTATTAGCAGAACTAGGATTGAACATCCAGGAAGCACATGCCTTCTCCACTGTGGATGGCTACTCTTTAGAGGTATTTGTTGTTGATGGATGGCCATTTGAGGTAAGATTATCTTTGATTTTACTACTGCTCTCCTTTATAAGATCTTCTCTTCCCTATATGGATGCCTAATACATCAAACAAATGCAATGAGCACTGCTGAACATATGTATTGATGAATGTTTCTTTTTTGAGGATGGACATGATTGCCCTAAAAATTACTATGAAATCTACTTTTATTTAAAAAAAGACAATAAAAAATTGAGAGGAGTTTATATACTTATCAACTGGCATGTATTTTGCTTGCTCATTATAATATTTGAACAGACAGAGGCTTGAAGATTATTATGCCATTCTGTCAAGTTGTTACTCATTTTGTGATGATATTTTTATTCATCTAGCTTCACTTCTTATCAGATCTTTTATGTATTTACTTTCCAGGAGGTTGAGCAACTTAGATATGCAATTGAAAAGGAAATTTTGAAGGCTGAGGTAATACCTTGTCCTGGTTGGATGGTTTAACTATCTAGAATTGTGCGGATGCATACAGAATTTTGAAGATTTTATGTATGCAGAAAACGCCTTGGTCAAATCCGTACTCTTTTCCTTTGGGAAATGAACAGGATCAAATAAAGATAAAATGTGAACCTGATCATCTAGCAATACCCCATGATGGCACTGACGTCTGGGAAATTAATCCTCAAAATTTGAAATTTGAGGGTAAAGTTGCATCTGGATCATATGGAGATTTGTAAGTCTCAAAGATGCATTTGCAGCCTAAGCTTGTTGTTTAATTCCCATTTTACTCAGGTTTTATTTATCTGTTTTTCCAGATACAAAGGTACTTACTGCAGCCAGGAAGTGGCAATTAAAATTCTCAAGGCTGAGCGCTTGAATACAGAACTTCAGAAAGAGTTTGCTCAAGAAGTATATATAATGAGGTTGTCAATATTCATTTGCTTTTCATTGAACAAATTTTATTATCGGTCTTGGGGTTCTTTTTTATTATTGTTCTTGTATGTTATCTATAGGAAAATTCGACACAGAAATGTTGTACAATTTATAGGGGCATGCACCAGGCCACCAAACTTGTGCATAGTAACAGGTAAGCATAGACAAAGTACATGTGTCTTGGAGTGATGGCAGTTAAACGAGAAAGTTGCCCCAGTAAACAAGTTTCTTTTTCAATATATTTTGACTTAAATATGCAATGTTTCTTTGGATGAATTGTAGAATTCATGTCTGGAGGAAGCGTCTATGACTATTTACGCGAGAAAAAGGGTACTTTTACGCTTCCAGCTTTACTGAAAGTAGCAATTGATGTATCAAAGGGAATGAATTATTTGCACCAGAACAATATAGTTCACCGGGACTTGAAGTCTGCAAATCTTTTGATGGATGAAAATGAAGTGAGTATTACACTCCCACTAATAATTTATTTATTTTTTATTACTTTTGTTTTAAAGCCTTGGCCTTTGGGGTGTCGGGAAAATATCTAATGAGCTCCATCTAGGTGGTCAAAGTAGGTGATTTTGGAGTAGCAAGAGTAAAAGCACAAACTGGTGTGATGACTGCTGAGACGGGGACATACCGGTGGATGGCTCCTGAGGTACATTATCTCTTGCACTAAATTTCATATAGGAAATACACCTGTGTGTGTGCTTGTATGGGAATATTTTAAGCATGGATAGATTGGGGCTTGGTGATCTTTCAGTTTTCTAAGTAGTGGTTTGGAACCGAGTGGATTATGTCTATTACTTACAAGAATTTGTTGTTTTTGAAGGTTATAGAGCACAAATCGTACGATCACAAGGCTGATGTTTTCAGTTTTGGGGTGGTTATATGGGAATTGCTGACGGGAAAGGTAATTTTATATATTTGTCTGAGAAATGTCGGATGAAATTTGGTGATTAAATGCATATTTTTTGAATGCATGCAGCTCCCATATGACAATATGACCCCTTTGCAAGCTGCTGTTGGAGTGGTTCAAAAGGCAAGCATGTTATTTCTATTCTTATTGTATGCGTTGGTAGCTAACTGATTGGTTATACACAAATCCATAAGCATACATACATGCATACATCTCTCTCTCTCTCTCTCTCTCTCTCTCTCTCTCTCTCTCTCTCTCTCTCTCTCTCTCTCTCTCTAGATATATATATCCTGATGGTATGTATGCATTGTGGGATGTCGGGTGGCAGGGACTGAGGCCAAGTATCCCGAAGAACACTCATCCGCAGCTGTCTGAGCTACTGGAGAAGTGCTGGCAACAGGACCCAACATTGAGACCCGATTTTTCAGAGATAACAGAAATATTGCAAAAGATAATATCATCTTCTAACCGGGAGGCACAGGCACAGGCACGCACTGGTTGCCCTGCTTGTTCAAATTGCTGTATTTTGTAGATATAGATGCTATGCTATGCTAATAGGAAAGTGCAAGATGCATATGCATGCATAGCTAGTGTAGTGTAGTGTAGTGGCGATCGAGCTACGTCATTGATGCATGGATGGATGTCCAGTGCAGGTGGTTGGTGGTGGCAGCGGCCATGGACATGAGCGGCTTCCAAAGAAGAGACTTGGAGGTGGTGGTTTTGTGGGAGGTGAAGGAGGAGGGTATCACTAAACCAAACCAGAGGCAGTATGGCATCCAATTTTGCATACATATATACATATATATAATATATATATATATATATGAATACAAGGATAGGATGTAATTCAATCCGCACAGACATGCAGCGATTGATAATATATATATATATATATATATAATCTTTGAATTTGACGTGGACAGTAAACACTACTAGCTCAAAAGAGTTTTTATTTTTTTAACTTGACGAGGTTTTTAAAGTTACTATACTAGTGTGTGTAGACACATGCACAACAAGTATTTCACCTGTTGTAGTTGTAGATAGGGTGTGTTTGTTTTGGGAATTTTACCTCAAATTTACTATTCATCTAATTTTTTCTCTCTCAAAACATCAAATCAAACATCTATTTTTTATTTTTTATATTATACTAAAAGTTAATTGTATATTTAAAACATCACATCAACATCTATGTATATCGTATCAAACCATTATTTAAATTCAAAATTTCTACTATTCAAATCTCAACTCAAAATCCAAACCCCCAAACAAACACACCGGTTGGCTTGTGCAACATCGCTAATTGCATAACAGTTTTTTTATTCGGCTGGTGTAATTAATTTAGGATAGTTGTTGATTCCTGGTGTAACGGGTCCGATGGTTTCTTCTTGAACATTTTTCCGTCGGCCTAACAATTCTTCGATACTCACGAGAAACTCGCTAGTACAACTTCGCACACGATTCCACTCTAAGCTAGAAAAAAAGAACACCACAACATGCACTCGGAAAAATAGAATGTATATTAGATCTCTGAAAAGTGAAGTACAACTAAGGGGTCCTCCCTTATATATAGAAACTCTAACGACGAAGCTTTACACAGACCAAAACATATCCACACTCGGATAGACTTTATCTATGCAAGATATGGATAAAAGTAGTTATATACAGAAATACGGATAAACTATGTCCAATAGATAAACACTAACTCAGTCAAATGAGCAATCCCGGTGCTTCTAAAATATTCCAGAATTCTCTGAAGGATTCTGAAATCTTCTGGAATATTCTGGGAGATTCTGAAATGTCTCAAGGCATATCCGCTAGCCTCTCTACTTTGGCGCGCCGCAGGCCGCTCCTTGATGTCCCCTTGGTAAGTCGTAGCACACTTCTTGGCGTTCCTCGGTCAAAGTTTCAGTTCGGGACATTCTCCCCCATTTGAGCTAGGCATTGGTCTCAATGCCTTGGAGTCTCGAATAGAATCCTCGCATAACCATACACCTTTGGTCTCCCCCCAACTCGCCTCGGACTCAGATAATCCACGCCATCTGGCCGGGTACTTGATCAACAGTGGTCGACTCTGGTGCCAGGCCTCCTTGTCCGTTACGATATCTTCTGCCACCTTGTCAGTTCTCTTCCGCACCGGGGGTTAAGTATTCATACCTGTACAACATAATCTTACGCATTCTTCGAACACAGCCAAGCTAGCATATCTTCACAAGCCCCACGCCTCTTTCTTTGGACTCTCGGAACGCCCTCTTCTCCAGGTTGAATTTGACAACTCCCACACGACCTCGCGAATGTTTGCTAAGGTGTAATGTTGGCCGAATCGGCCTCTCGTATACTCCTACTAGCATATTTGGCATTATGGGCTGGAGCTCAAACACACTCTTGCAACTCGAAATGTCTGTCACATCATTCATCCTTCAAGGCCGACGCTCGCTCTAGAACTCGGACTTTGCAAAGACAGTAAACCACCCCTCCTAACGTCCACTAACCCATTAGGGAACGTCTAGTAAGTGGGCCGAAGGGCTGGTCTTGCTCTTCTCACCAAGTCGATACCACGATTGATAGTCTTTTGAGGGGGTGGCCACTTAGACAGATCTTCTCGTGTGGTTTCCTCGACTCCCTTGAAGGCTTGCCCTAGGTCCTTAGGCGGGCCTCTGACGTCTTGCTCGCGGTCCCCAAGGATGCTCTCGTCACTCCGAATAGCCGCTAGAGTCAACTCTCTTTCTCTTCGACCTCCCTTTATTTGTTTGGGGTTAAGCTCTCTCTGTGTAAACCGTCACATTACATAGTGTCCCATCCTCTGTGATTGTGAACCTTTGCTCGTATGACACCATTATGGGCTTGACGTGGTCCATGAACCTCATCCCTACAAATACCGCACAATCATCCATAGGGACTATATTAAACAATTCTTTACTTTTCCAATTACCGAGCTGGATGGGCATGTCTCTAGCTACGCCAGATATGGGAGTCCACCCACCATTGACTCTCTTGAATCGCCCTCTAGAAAGTGCCCACTATAGGCCAATCTTACGGGCCAGTTGCTCGCTCAGGAGTTGTCGTTCGTGTCCGGGTCGAGTAAGCACGTCACTAACACTTGCATCCTTCCTCTAAGGGTATTAGCAGGGGCTGACTTTGTGCAGGCCACACGGCCTTCTATTGCCTTTGGTGGTTCATCCATCACCATAATGCCTCCCCGACTTGGACAATCCCTCGCATAGTGATCCTTGCCCCTGAAGACAAAGCACCCGTCATATGTCGGCCCTGGCCTCCTCACGTTCCCGACCCTACCCGCGGGTTGCTTTCAGGTCTCGCCAATATCACTAACCCGTGGCGTCTTCCAGGTTTGGTCTCCCCCACTTCTGCCTTGGTTAACCTTCAGTGACTTGTCGTCTTTACTTGGGTCTTTCCGCTCAACCTCAAACAACCATTGAGCGTACCTGATTGTCTCGTTGACATTTGAAGGAAGCTTCTTTTTAACCCTCAACTTAGCCCACGGCCTCAGTCCCTCCAAGAACATCAACAATGCCTCCTTAGGGGACATATTGGCACCTTCAACAATAGATCGGAGAACTTCTCAATGTACTCCTTCAAGTGACCTTCTCGATGCTCCAACTGACGAATTGTACACCATGCCTCCTGCTCTGCATCAGCCGGTGCAAATTTTGCCTTAAGTTCACGCTTGAATGTTCTCCAAGTCGTGATGCCTCCCTCATTGCCATGCATCCCATCATTCCGCCTCCACCAAGTACAGGCCAAGCCATTTAGGAACCGTGATGTCGTTCGGATTTTGGCGTCGTCTCCTATGATGCCAGAATCCTCGAATTATTTCTCTATATTATAGAGAAAACCATCCATAGCTTGAGTCTTCCACTCCCCGGCATAACTCTCCGGGCACAGTATATTTCCCTTTAGGGCCGTTGGGGCAAACCCGATCGGTCTCCTTGCCAGGAGTTCGGCTAGCGCTGCCCTCAATGTTGCTAACTCCTCTCGCAAACTTGAAGGTTCCGCAACATTAGCTTTCTCCAGCCTCGCGATCTGGACTATGCACTCCGCCATAGTCTACTTCAGAGCGACTACCTCGGCCTTCAGCGCCTTGGCAAACTCCATCGTTGTTAGTTCATGCTTCCAAGACTCCTCCCTTTCAGTATCGATCGAGGCCTGTATCCTTTCTCACAACTCGCTGTGCTCGAGTTCATAGATAACTTGTTCCACCTCATCGAGCTTGTCATAATGATCCCCAATGGTCAGCTCACCTTGGCCAGCCTGTTCTCGAATGATCCCCAATGGCAAGCTCACCCTGGCCAGCCTGTTCTCGAATGATCCCATGATATTAGCAAACTTGTCCCTTGTGTTCCTTTGGTTCCGCCTCGGGACCTAGTTCTCAACCTCGAACTCAGCATCAGAATTGTCAGTCGCCATCCCTCAAAACGTAGCTCTGATACCATATGTAATATGCCCGGAAGCTGACACGCCCAGCGCCTAGGCCACGCCCGCGTTGAGGCCTAGACCAGCTGTCCCCTATGCATAATATGCCCGGGATATACCATACAATATAGGAGAAGTAAACGGAACTCGTACCTACAACAAGACATATGCCATGAATCAGCCGTATAGGATAAGGGGTCGCACACATGGGACGGACTATGATCGAGAACCTGTGGCGGAAATGTCAACCCGTGACACTACTCTCCCACTTCAAGTCGCAAACGCACTCGTGCGATGCTACTCAAATGCACCGACGTTTCTTGCACCTTGAGCATGCCTACATTCTTTGTGCTCACCAAACGCCAACGAGGTTTTTCATAGCTGACCCACATTCCCCATTTCACCGTGCATCTCCATACACCATCCTGGACATCTTTTGTTGCAGATTGTGCAATTTCCTCCGAAGATTGTCCTTAACGTGGTTTCTCCATTACGAACAAAGCTTAGCGATCTTAGCTCACCAACAATGTCGAGCATACTCCCCCACCCTAGGAGTACTCTCCTCTGGAATGTTCAGATCCCTTAGGACATGCTTTTTCTTGATATGCCACAGACATGCTCTCCCGCAGAGCGATGCCCCACTCGTTCGCTTTGTTCGTCACCACCGTCAAGGTTAGCTCCGATACCGATTGTAACGGATCGCATGGTTTCTTCTCGAACACCTTTCCGTCGGCCTAGAAGTTCCTCGACACTTACAAAAAACTCGCGAGTACAGTTTCGCACACGACTCCACTTTAAGTTAGAAAGCAAGAACACCACAAAATACACATGGCAAAGTAGAGTGTATATTAGTTTTCTGAAAAGTGAGGTGAAGTACAACTGAGGGGTCCTCCGCTATATATGGATACTCTAATGGACCGGGCCTAACACAGGCCAAAGCATATCCTATACAAGATTTGGATAAAGGTAGCTATATAAAGAAATATGGATAAACTATGTCCAATGGATAGACACTAATTCGGTCAAAGGGGCAATCCTGGTACTTCTAGAATATTTCGGAATGTTCTTAAGGATTTCGGAACCTTTTGGAACATTCTAGGAGATTTCAAAATATCTTAAGGTATATCCGCTAGCCTCTCTGCTTTGGCACACCGCAGTCCGCTCCTTAGCGCCCTTTTGGTAAATCGCAGCACACTCTTCGGCGTTCCTCAGCCAAAGTTTCGGTCTGGAACACTAGTGTATTAGTTTTCAGTTAGGATTGGTTTGTAGCTAATTTTTTGTATGTTTTAAGTTTGTCGGCCGTACCATACATTTTAAACTATCAAATTTGTGAATTTAATCTACATGTATTTTTATTGGTAAATTGAAGATAAATACTTTGAACTATCAGAAATTTCCCTAATATTATCCATCTTATTTAAAACTCTCTTTACATATATTTATATTTCTTTTAACTCCAAAATTCTATTTTTATCTTCATACAAAATACTAATTCACAAAATTATCAAATATATTCAAAATTTTCAATTTACGCGATACTTTTATTTCCCT